TTGCCGGCGCCCGTCTCCCGGTCGCGGATGAGCCGCACCCGCCGCACGTCGGGGACCCCCTGCTCGACAAAGAAGTTCCACACCTCCTCCTCGGAGGTGTCGTAGGAGATGTTGCCGATGAAGACGGACGTCTCCGGGGCGTAGGCCGCGTCCTCAGCGCGGAGCGTGGTGACCACAACGTGGCGGCCGCGCAGGACGAGGCCGTTTTTCCCCAGCCCCCGCGCGACACTCACGGCGTCGCGGAAGAGCACGTAGGCCGTCGCGCGGCACCGGTCGTCCTGGCGGAGCTCGCCGCGCAGGACGCGAATCCCGCGGCCGACCTTTGCGGACTTCTCGTCCCCCGCCTCGAGCGCCTGGCTGCGCACACGGACTGAGGCGATCGCGCCACAGTCCTTAAAGAACCGCTCCACCTCCCGTTTCGTGATCGTGTTCGGTAGGTTGCCGACGAAGATGGTGCGCGCGTCCTCCTCGGGGTTCGCATGCAGCGCGTGGCGGAGAAGCGGCCGCTTTCCTTGCCGCAGCGGGCCCGCCCGGGCGTCGCTGGGAGGGGCCTCGTCCTTGACAAAAACGCTTCGGAAGAGGTCGCCCGCGTCGTTAGGCGAGGATGCAGGGCCGGTGGGGGGTTGCTGCGCGCTTTTTTTCGCGGATTGTGTGGGGCTGGTGGGCGCCGGGTCGGCGTTGGAGTCACCCGCACGCCGCGGCTGCTTGACATTCTCCAGCTCCAATCGCGCCTTGGCGCGTCTGGTCATCTTCTTCACTTGCGGAGCGACCGCGAAGATGTCCAGATTGGTTTTTTTCACAGAAGCAAGATTAAGCGCCGGTGGCGGCGTAGCCGAGGTCGATCCTCCCTGTGAGGGTGCTCCCACCTTCTTGGTGGTCGTGGACATGATTTCTACTGTTGCGAATTTGCTAATATCTTTTTACACTGATATGCAATACACACACACACACACACACATCAGCATTGCAGAGACAAAAAGACAGTGGAAAGGGGAAGTCGAGAAGAATGCATTGTATTTCGAAAGGGAAAAAGGCAAAACTAACAAAAGGTATGCGGCATTAACTGATTTGTAAATTTAATCTCTCTCTCAAGTGCGCTGAAGCGATAATTGAGAACGGGTCCCCTAAATTCCAGTGAAGAATGAGCATTCTTATACAGATTCCCCCTTTCCAAGCAGCTTCATCTTGCAGTGAAACATTTCGTGAGCCTTTCTCCAAGCCTCCTGAAAGGACTCCCCTTTTTCGTTTTTTCTGGCTGATGATGCGGCTGTGGAGTAAGGCAAGTCGCGACGGCTCTCAAGGGCTCGCGTATCTACCACCGACGCAACATCTGAAACGAAACAGCGATCCCACCACAGCGTAATGCCCATTCCGATAGGTTCTTTAAAGAGGTGAACCACCAGGAGCCGCAGCGCACGCCTGTGTAACGTGATAAGTTCCCAGCACCCCTCCAAAAGATCTTCGTCGGTTTTAACGCCATAGCGAAAAGTCTTGCAAAGCTCCATGAGATAGTCTGAGGAGCTCGCTTGGGGGTCGGCTATCGATGGGAATGCCTCGCGAAGGGGGTAGGCTGATGCAAACAAAATACGGATACGCGAATGCTTCGCTGTCGGCGCTGTTGGGAGTCCATTTTGCTTGCTCACCTTCCCTTCCTCCGACACCTCCTCGTTGTAGATGCGAACGCTTCTGACATCCCTGCCCCGCATATCCATGGGAACAATAAAGCTCACCGTGAAAGTATCGCTTGTTTGAGCCCACAGGTGAGAGTTTCCTTCCCGCCCCCCATTTAAGATAAGATTTCGATACAGAATCTCCTCGTGTTCGTCGTCATCGCCCCCAGATTCCTTCCCTTTTTCCACCTCGCAGGAGATGGGTGCGTTAGCGGGATGTAAAGCGAGCTCGACATTCCGGTTGGAGGATCCCAGCCGCTTCGCATCATCACCCTCTCCCTCAAGCTGCTTTGCGCACGTCGACAGTTCGTTTCGAAAAGGCGACGCCGTTGCAGATGGGTAGCCTTCAGCTCCTGCCGAAAGCTGCATCCCACCTGGGCCGATCATCACACGAGACGGCCCTGAAAGCTTCACGACCCGTGGTCGACGATCTCTACCACTACCAGCGTAAGATTCACCAGATTCGCTTTCCACACAGACATCCCTCTGAAAATCACCATGGTGTGCTTCTTCAGGGCCGTGAGAGCCGCCGTCGTCGCTGAGGCTTGAAGACGTGCTCACCTCAATGTGATCCCATTTTGAATAGTCGATACCTGGCATCGAGAAAAGCAAGCGAATTTTAAAATAAACTAGCAGTACTGTGAGTACTACGATTTGCTTGGTGAGAGTGTATCTGTTGAGACCGATTCCCTGATACCCTTCACTATCACTTGTCATTATGAGGAAGACATTGTAGAAAAAAAGTGAGATTCCAATGATCCACAGCAAGTGAGGGATCTTTTCGCTTTCCGCATATCACCCACTCACGCCCAGCAAAGACAAAAGCAACCAATTGTGCAAGTAAATACCAAAATTGTACAGGGATGACTCCATCGCTTCGAGACACCCATAAACAATGCAAGGTGGGCATCCATGCGTTCATTTTACATTCTGAATGATGAAAAATAGCACAAAAAAAAGGGAGAGGGGAATTTTAAGCAGAACTAGTACGCTAAAAGCGACACTTCGCGTAGCCAGCGCGGCAGAGTGGACATCTCGGCGGCATCGCCATCTTCACGCGGACACTATCTCCACCACCTTCTTCGCTCGCCGTGTACCACCGTTGATAGCGCTCAAACGCCGATAAACAGGAGTGGTGGAAAAGATGGCCGCAGCTTAAAATAACTATCATGCCGCCTTCAATCCTATCATCCGCCCTCTCGCTCCCGTTCTGCTTCATCTTCACTTCAAGGCTAGGAGAGGTTGCAGCGGCGACCGCACCGCGTTTCTTTGGCTCTTGCCGCCTTCTTTCCTTTGCGTCTGCCATACGCGTGTGCGAAGGCCGACGACCGCCCCTCTCACCTCGCGCCGGCAAGTTCCCCCTCACGAAACCCCCTTTTCGAGAGGCCTCAGCTTGTTGCCGTTGCGCGGCATCTCGCCGGCGCTCGTACGCCCGCCTCAGTTCCCACACGTGCCGCTCCGCCTCACTTTCCGCAGGATCAAGTAGGGGCTTCCCGCCATCGGAAGGTTCAGCTTCATTAACGAGGAGCGCCTTCACCCCGTTTTCGAATCGGCCGTTTGGAACCGAAGCGGCGTAATGCGTTGACGAGGGCACGAAACAGAACGCGCTCTCGCGCTCCAAACTATCCCCAGTGGCGGTGGCGTCCTTCTCGAAGGCTTTCCCATCCAGAAAGGTGGCGCTCGTCTCAATAGCCTCCAAACATATCGGGCACGGCGTTGTGGCGACGGCACGCGCCATCGGCTTTTCGGCCTCGCCGCCGTCGGTGGCGCAATCGCGGTGCGGTGCGGGATCGTGAAGGAGGAGATGCCGCGTGATAAGACCCCGCCAATCCGACTCTGTTAAATAAGCCCCTGCGATTGCCTGTTGTTGCACTTCTAGGCGGGATAAAAAAACCCGCCGGATCCCTTCCTGTCGCTCCACGTGCCGTTCCCAGGTCCTCGACAACCGCTCGAGGCCCTCGAGGACGTACGACTGCCGAAATTCGGGGTTGGTCTGCACCCGCAGCCTCGTATACCGCCGGCGCGCGAGGTACCCACGAATCACGGATTGGATCTTCACCACCGCCGCGCGCTGGGCGAGCGCCGCTCCCGCGAAGTAGCTTCGTTTGTAGTAAGGCGTCGCGCGGCATTCCGGGCAGGCTAGACGTCCCCCCCCACCTTCTCGCCACTGTGCCCGCACGAGGCGCTCGAACTGGTGAAGGCAGCGCGCGTGGAAGACGTGGGAGCAACTGAGGACGACTTGCTCGACGCCCCCTGCGCGGGCGAAGGGCTCCTGACAGATGCTGCAGCCCCCCTTCTCCTCTCGTTCTTGCCCCACTTCCCTTCCTTGTTCTCTTTTCCTTTCCGCCGCCTCCCGTTGCCGCGTTGCGCGCGCGTCGACGGCGCGCCACTCCGCCTCGGAAGGGGGTGGCGGTGGGGGAAGGGGCAGGGGCAGAGGGGAAGAAAGAGGAGGAAGCGGAAGGGAAAGGGAGGGGGGCGGCCCCCTCCTTTCCAGGGCAAGGTGCTGCTGGAGGGCGACTGCCGTCCACAGGTGCAGCTGCGCCTGACGCCGCTTCGCCCCCTGGAGAGCTCCGCTTGCGCGATCTTGACAAGTCGGACGCATTGGAAGCTGTGCAAGTTTAACGGAGGGAAAGAAAAAAAGAGAAGAGAAATACAAAAAGGATACTTTATCAGACACCCCAAAGCGTCAAAAAATCGAAAAACATTCTACTCACTTTGTAAGACTTTCAGATAGAAATAGGCAAAGACAGGGAATAAAACGGGAGGAGAGGTAGCACAAATATTTCAGGCAAGCAATAAGGTGGGGCTGAACTAAACAATTCCTTCACGAAAAGTGATGGACTATACAGATATGTAGATTTAAAAAGTACAGATCTCAGCAAGCGGGAATATTAGAAGTGATAGTGGCAAGCCTCAAAATGCTTCTTTATCCTGAAGAAGAAATACAAAACTCGGTGAGAAATAAAAGCCCAACACCTGAGAAGGCTTGTTTATCGCTCCCCAATGATGATTGAATTGAGAGGTTACACCTAGAAGCACTAGTTAAGATCCCCCTTTCCCTTCCTATTTTAGAAACGTAGTGAAAACACCTACTTCATATAATGTTACACAGAATTTTTTTCCTTTTAAAATTCGTGGATTCCTTATCTTTGTTACTCAACCACGTGTTCTTCAAAATTGGCGTTTCCAAGATGCATTCTTCCGTACATTTTGCCTTGTTCTCTTCACCCGATAGTGGAGTCTATTGACGTCTATTATATATATATATATATATATCTGTATGTATGTATACCCCGTCGTACAACACGCATGCATCACGCCTCATACTCATCCTCAGGGTTGCTTTCCCTTTTCACGGCTGGAGGTGGCACGCCTTCTTCACATTTGATCGGCAATCTTTCAGCGTCTATTGAGTCGCCTTCCTCCCGCGTCGAGATGAGGGTCACACGCACCTCACCATCACCGACAACAATCTCGTCGCCGGCGTGCAGCTGCAGCGCATCGCCGCCGTGCACCCACCGCGGCGTTTCCCCGCCGCTGCGGACGATGGAGACCCCATTTCGCCCGTAGCTCATCAACCACACCGTCCACCCCGATGAACCCTCACGATGCGTTCCCTCAGTTTGAGATTGAGCTTTGAGCGCCATTCCGCTTTCCTCATCGCTAAGGGGTTGGTTGGATAAGGAAGTCTCCCTTGGATCCGCCAGGGATTCGCTAACGTCTCCCACAAAGCGCAAGATGAGGGCGAAGTGCAGCGTTGAGAGCGTCTGCGGGTTGTTCGTAAAGGCGCCAAGCCCGACATCGATGTGGAGTGGATTTCCCGAAATCCCGTACTGCACCCCCGACGCGCGCCCAAAAAGCACCGTGGCGGTTGCCTTGGCCGTGGTGCACACGACGCGGCTGCCGTTCAGATCGACCCGCCGCTCCTTCGCCTCAGGGCGGGTGTTCGAGCGAATCCACACCGCGTAGCCCCCGCCATCCCATCGCGATGACGACGGCCCGGCAGGGCGGACCCGCCAGCCGAGATCCTGGACGACATCCAAGGCGTGGGCCGCGCCGTGACCCCCTCCCGGGCACTGCCCATTCGTGTACGGGTTCGTCAGGTTGATCGTGCCCGGGGGGACGACGTAGTCCGTCTGGCAGCCCTGCGAGCGGAGCCGCCGCCAGGGCCGCCGGTACAGCCGCGCGAGCGTCTCGAGCAGCTCCACCCGCCGCTCGACGTCGTCCTCACGGCCGGAGATGAAGACCCCGGCGTTCGACGGCGCGTCCACCTCGGCGGACCACGGATCCACACACGGCCGCAGGCGATCCAGCATCTCGTCCTCGGCCCCCCCGCGCGGACGCTTTCGTGCGCCCTCGTTTCGACCGTCCTCGGTCGCCGCCTCCGCGGCGGCGGCTGGAAACGGGGCCGTCGTCGCCGCGCCGTGGTTCACATCGCATAGCTTTCGCCACGCTAACAGATTAATGAAGTGGTTCGTCATCAGCACGGCGCCTTCCTGCTCATCCAACCCCACACGCGATTTCAGCTGCACCAGCTCCTCTAGCATCTTCGCGGCGGAAAAGTTTCCCTTCAGCAGTACGGAGGGAGTTAAACCGGCCTGCAGGAGGCGATTGGATGAGATTAGGGAAGCCAGGGTATGAGCAGCCGTCGAAGGAGATCCACTATCCTTTTCAGGCCCTTCCGCACCCTTTTTTTCCATCGCATGGGAGGAAGTAAGCGCCTGGATGTCGGCAATCTTCCACGATGAATTCTGCACATCCAGCACATCCGCCACCGCATCCCAAACACGCAAAGCTGGGGTGCCCTCGGGAACCTTCTCTAGGAGCTCCGGGAAGAGGTAAAATGGAGGTTCATAAGTAGTGGCGCGGCAGAGCTGAATAGTGCAATCGCCGAGAATACAAGGCACCTTGACCGCACTATCCTTCTCGGGAAAGTCACAGCCTTCATGAACAGCATTCATAGGAATCTATAACGGGGGGTGATTATTATTTTTATTTATTTATTTATGATGATAATGATTTTGTTTAATATTAATTTTCTAAACCTAAGAGAAAAGAAAAAAACAACCATTGCCGTCATGTTATCTTTTCCACTCCACATATAGAGAGAGATTTCATTAATCCCTTCTCTTCGCGTTTACTTAGGGGAATGTTAATACTGAATAAGCAAAGCCCAAAATATGGGTAGGTTTCTCCAAAATGTAAATTACACCAAACAGATGAATTTGGACTCGAAATTAACCAAATACCAAAAACCATACTATTTGCAGTGATAAATTGAACATCTAAATATAGTAATGAGCAGGTTTAGTGCAGATCGAATGCAAAAAAATTTTAGTGCCCTGTATCACCAAAAAAAAAAAGAGTTCATGAGCAAGAAGAAAAGTGATATATGCATAAATATCGCCTTTGATTTCTTAATTAGCTTGTTTCCTTTTTTTTTATGCTTTTGATCCTTCAAGAACTACGAGTAATGAAGCCCTACTCTCAACTCAAAGTTCCATTTCATCTTTTTGTCAGATACAGCGACAGTGCAACAAGCAGTGAAATAGTGAGTGGAAACCAACCTCCAGACAGATCCATCCTGATCTACCTGCCCACAACTGAAATCTTCGGAAAAGAAGAAAGCTTCTTCATTCACAAATCACACGATATCTCTTTCCACAGCTCCTTCGACGACGACATCGGCTTTTCCTTCCAAAAACAGCTCTGTCGGATCCTCCGATGCGTATTCTGCGGAGACGATATTTCGAAACGGATTTTCTTCCCCAGATGGCGAGATGTCATTTCTCAAAGACCCCTCCTCTCCGACAGGTGGCAATACCATTGATTCTCCCTTTTCCCTCGCAATAACGCCCCTTTCGACGCTGCTCTCAACAGATAAGGTTGTGGGCAACGCCGTTCCCTCGGCGTTCCCGCCGCTGAAGCGAGCAAAATGCGGAAAGCAATAGTTTGATGGCGGTTGCAGTAACTGAGGCTGTTCGTTGGACGTTGAAACGGAGAGCTGCGGTGGGAAAGGCATTATCCCGTGCGCTTCTCCTTCGGCATCGTTCTTTTCTGGTGGTGAAGGATATGAAATGGAAGGCATCGCGTTGTAGCGATGCAACGGTTGCGATGGCATCGTGGTCAGGCCCTCGGGCAGCGTATGACCCTCATCCCCCGCCTCCATCCCTGCGCCCCATCGCGGATCTTGCTCAATACGGCTGCCGTCACATTGCAAATTCACGCCATCGCAGCGGCGTATTTGCTCGCCTGAAATGGCCCCAGGGGGATGAAGGGGTGCGGCGTTTATGGCAGCATCACACTGAAACGTTAGTGGCCCGGGATTCCTTGGTTGAAGCTCACCAGCATCGGGACTGCTTTGGGCAGCTGCTCGCGAATCTGCAAGCTCCGCGAGAAGAAGAAGAAGATCATCTCGCTCCGCAGTCACCTCCTCTAACTGCTTCTGAAGCGATAATTCTCTTTCCTGACAACTACGCTCGACCTCCAAGCCGTCCGTTGTTTCATGAGGGTTGCTGCAAGCCATGCCACCGATCGGGATATCTGCCGTCGGAGAGCTCAAAAAAAGAGATTTGGATTGGAAATTCTCCTCTTGATTCATTAAGGCGGCCTGAAGGGGTTGAAGTTTCTCTGCAGCGGCTGCCATGCTATCAAGCTGTGATTCAAGCATATTTAGGGAATCTACAAGCTGCACACGCTCTTCCTCCTTGGAGTTCAGGGCATCCTCAAGCAGTTTAATGTTGTCTTGTAGCTCTTTAACTTCATTTTGATGTCGCTCTTGTATCACGTTAATCTGCTGTCGGAATAAATCTTGCTGCTCGTCGCTCTGCCGCGCCGATTCGACCGTTACCTGATTCTTACTACCGTTAAAATGGATCCCTCCTAACGAGTTATCCGACTGTTGTAAACTCTGACTTTCCAATTCACTTTGCAGTTTCGCTAGCTTGTCTTTTAGCATCCTGTTCTCGAGTCTCAAGTTCTCTGACTTATCTTCACACGTTTTCATCTGCGCACGCAGTGAACGCAGCTCTTCGCTCTCCGCATCGCGAATTATATCAAAGGTATCCCCGGTTACGTCAGGCAGCACGAAATTGGACGACTCCATCGGGATTACTTCTACGTTAGAATCCATGTAATTCACCGAATCCTCGAGAGGCTTATTCACTTTGGAGCTAACAAATGTGGTTTCATGTGCACCCACATTCGAAAGGGGGTTGTAGGAATTCATCTTATGAGCCGTTATCTTGCTCGGAATCAGAGTTTGGGAGGCATCGTTTAATGAAGATGACTGGGATCGTCTCCGTCCCTCCCACGCTTGTGTTTGCAGAGAGGAAGAAAGCGCCGGGTAAATCGATTTGAGGTGATCGATGATTTGTTCCAGAACCTGTGCAAACTCAACATCGTAGAGCGCTGGAGAGGGCGAAATCCACGCGCTTACAACGGGGCTCGACCACTGCATGGTGCTCACTTGGACGTCGAAAAGAAGATTCTCAAGAAAAACGACACCGCCGAGCTCCGCGATAAACAGCTTTAGTAGGTGATTTTGATCGAACGCGAGCTTAGAGTGCTGCGATTGGGGTTCCTGCCTAGAGTTCCCGCGGTGAGAAAGCTGTGACTTCGTCGTTTCGTCTGAATGATACATGCAAGACGCCATGCAGCAGAGGTCCGCCGCTATGACTGCACACCAGAAGCGAATGTTCACTTGCCCAGTTTCACGGCGGGATTGCTGAAGCAGGATTGGATACCACTGAGGGTCGCTGAGGAAATAAATCATCGCGTTTGCGCTCTTCCCATGGTGAAACCACGCGATCACCGCTCGGGTGTATGCCCCAAGCGCGGCCGTATCCATCTGCTCGCTGATATGCCCTCCCTGAACACAAAATAAAAAATACGAGACAAAGGCATTGAAAAATGTTACCGGAATGTATTTAGAGAGCAGCACCCTAGAATTGTTGGGCAGAGCGAGTAATGAGGATGATAACGAGTTAGTGCTAGTAGCTGGGGACTCCACACTCCACGGCATCTCCAGAAGACGATCCGCAACGTCTGAAAGCGAAAGTATCTGTGCGAGCAGCAGCCCGGCGTAATACTTCCCTACTGCATGCGGGGTAGGCCCTAGTAGAGCGCACGCGAGCGCCTGCCCGCAGGATTTGAGCTCATACCTCCCCTCTATTCGGAAATTACCAACCTTTGCGGACGGCGCGAAGTTATCCAGCAAGGCGTGTGCAACCACTTCTTCGCAGCTCGGCACGCTCAAAAGCGCCTGAGTGAGCTGCACGCATGCACCCAACAGCGTTGCGTCGTTGCTGGTGAAGAGATACTCCAACACCACGCGGAGTGGTGACCAATAAACTTTCTTGCACGGTAGCTGCGCGTGAATCAACGACGTAACATCGGTTAAGTTCATAAAATCGTTTATCGCAGGAGGGAAATCCTTGAGAAATCTGGCGAGCGTGCGCAAGGATTCGATTCTAACCCCCTCATCAATTATACACCCACACAAAGCTAACCTAACTAAGGGGCCGAGAACACCAGATGCATAGAGGCACTCGCGCGTAGTATGCAGGTCCTCCTTCGAATCCGCCTCTTTTAAAATACATGACAAGATTAATACCCCCATCATCAGAATAGTAGATTGACTTGGAGATAAGGGCTGTACTGCTACCGTAGGCTCTGCCCTGCCCCCTTGGCATTTTCTTGGAATAAAGTCAAATAAATCACACAAATGCTTCGCGCAGCTCATTTCTCTAAAAAGCTTTTGTGTTGCCCGATTCCCGCGCAACATATTGTGAATAACGGTGAGACAATCCGGAACGATTGCACCCCCCTCAACCCCGCCTTCCTCTTCTATCACACAAAAAAGAAGATCAAACGCGCCATTAAAAGCAACAATCGTTTGCAAATTGGCGTCCGTCGCGGTAAGAGCGGATAGCAGCTCAAGCACCTCGCCGCGTAACGCACCACCGTTTCGTTGATCTTTAAGTAAATCCACCACCAAACCTATCTCATGAGAATCGAGGAATAGCTTCTGCAAAAGCGCCAGATCGACTTCTTGAAGATGACGAAGAATCCGCACCACGCGCAAACGACAGCAGAACGTAGACGTACGCGAGGATACCGGTGACATCACAGAGAGCGATTTCACGTTTTTATCCTTCAGAAGATCTAGAAAAAGAGGCACCCCGTCAAACATCGCACGCACGAAGCGATCACGAATACTTTGTTTCTCGTTTTGCGATATCGCACGGCGGGTAAGTTTGGTCGAAAGCAAAGTATTGTCATCCTCCCCAATAGTTTCTGGGAACGTTGAGGAATCCGTAAGATTCAACAAAACGTGCAACACAGCTTCAATAACTCCATGATCATCACGATAAGTAGACAAAAGCTTCATAATATGTGTGAGCTCATGCGCTTCCATCTCATAAGGGAGCTCGGCGCATTCTGTGAGCGTGTTTAGCGCATCACGAAGATCCTGCGCTACAGTGCAGGTTTTTATACGCAGAATTAACATCCGAGCAGATGGTCTGCTGCTTTCGCCATTACTCCCTCCACTAATTTCAATATTTAAGTTTGGTTTAACGCTCCCTGCTTGCAGCGTTGGTGGCGGTAAAGCCGTTGAGAAGGCTTCCAAAAAAGAATTTTCTTGCCCGTCCGAGTGATGAGAGGTGGTAGTGCCGCCGTGAGACTTGTTAGATAATTTTCTCGTGCTGTTTTTCTCGTCTGTAAGAGAAGTTTGTAATCCGTTCAACCTAGAAATTTCGGGGTCTAAGTTTTTCCGCTCCCCCTTCACATCGTCTGCATCGGAAACGGTTGGTTTGATTGTTGGGTGAACCACCTCCTGGCCTAGTACTAATCTAAAAATAATGCTCATGAGTTTAGTGTATTTAGTAAAAAGCTCGAATTAGCAAATCTAATGTCAAGCACAATAGCTAATGTAACTAAATTAACGTGTGTGTTGTGTGTGTTGTGGCAGCTATTTCCTCCCTTTCGTTCGCTCAGTTTCAATAGTGGTAAAAGAATCAAGAGCTATACACGAAGTTTCTATATCCACTAATCAACATCAGCTGTGGATCATTCAAGTGGCACACTTACACCGGCAGATGTGTTGGTCGATTCATGAACAAAAATAGATAAGATGACAATCGACAAACAAGTCAATAGGATCTCTCCTATGTTATTTTATTTCTTTCTTTTATTTTAATCGCTTAACAAGAGGAGTTAAGAATTTCGCAAACCAGATAGAGCGAATTCCATCAAGCAGAATAACAGCAACAACATAAGAGAAGGATACTTAGGAACGACTGGTATTGGATTTGACTGTGTTTTTGTCATCTTCTTCCGAGGCGCATCTCCTCCCTCCCCCCCTTCCCCCCCCTCCTCCCTCTTCCGCCACGAAGCTACGATGGAAACTAAAAAGTCGTTTCCGGAAGAACCCCAAAAGTTTCCTTCTTAAGCCGCAACTCACCTTTAGGCTTGAGTATCTTCCGCTTGTTGTAGCTATGTCGCATTCGCGCAGGAATCAAGTTACGTTCCTCAAGCGACTTCATCCGTTCCAGCACCGGATGCACCGTGCCGCCGCTCATATGCCGAAGTGATCCGACGAGACTTTCAGTAGGCAAAACGTCTACAACAAGCGGGGTGTGGTAATGGCGCCCGAAATGCTTCACTTGCAGATTTTCCTTCCTCGCCTCACGCCGCCGTTCACGCGCGGCGACGAGCGTTTCCTGCCGCCTTTCGTGCTTTTCCAGCAGCGCCTCCAACGCCGCGGCCTCCTGCCGCACCACCTCGCGGTTGGGGTGACGACGGTACCGCATGGCCACTCTCGCCTCCCGCGCTGACGCCGCCTTTCCGGGCTTCCGCCGACGCCTCGAGGGCTTCGCGGGGGGCAGGAGGCGCTTAGAGGAGGGAGGAGGCGAGAGCGGGCTCGCCTCTCGTGCAGGAGCCGGTCCTTCCGCCGTAGACTTTCCGTTCCCGTTTTCCTTTCCGCTGTCCTTGCCTTTGCCTTTGCCTTTGCCTTTGCCTCTC